TGGCATCTGGGTGCCCCTTAATTAAAGGGGTACCCCGCTGCAAATATGCCCCCTTGCACACAGACTCCCACAACCACCGTGTCAGAGTTGTGGGGAAGAGGCCCTTGTCCTCTTCGGCATGGGAACATGGGGGAGAGGTGCAGGGGGGAGAGTGAGATGGGGGAGAGAAGCAGGGGAGATGGAGAGAGTCCAGGGGGCATATGAAGATGGTGAAAAAACAGAGGGCATATGAGGGATGGGGAAGAAAACAGAGGGCATATCTCCTAAACCTACGAGGTCATTTTATAGGTTTAAGAGATATGAGTCTTCAATCAATTGGGGGGAAAAACGAACCTTTCCCCATTTATTTAAGTGTAATTATTATGTAAAATGGTTTAACACACATCCTAATGTTTAAGAAAATCTGCTGCTATTTTTTAAGAAGATCCCCAGAGTTGTTCTGACTTCTTAAACCTGTATTATAAATAATGGTGTATGGGTGTGTGCATGCATGAGTAAATGAGTTTGCATTTTTGTATATATGAGTGTATGTATATGTGCATATGTCAGATGGAGCCTAATGTTTGAGTTTCGCCTAAAGCTGGCCATACACCTATAGATTATCTGCAGGTTTTCTATGGCCAGATGGAAAAAGTGCAACAAATTCCCCCATCTACGCTAAACTGTGTGGATGGAGGAATCTCCCACTGGGCCAAGCCTCAGTATCTTGCAAGTCAGCCCCGCTGGCTCCCAAAATACCTGAACAATGCCTGCATCCAATCAGATTGTTCAGGTATTTTGAGAGCCAGCGGGGCCGACTAGCAAGATACTGAAGCTTGGCCCAGTGTGAGATTCCTCCATCCACACAGTTTAGCGTAGATGGGGGAATCTGTTGCACTTTTTCCATCTGACCATAAAAAATCTGCAGAAAATCTATAGGTGTATGGCCAGCTTTAGGCCTCACAAAGTCTAGAGCTGCCTCTGATGTCAATAAACATTGTAAAAATCCCGCAATCGTAAGAGAATCGTGCAGTGTGATTGAAGGCGTGCGACCGTGTCTACTGTACGGTCGCACGTTTTTGTCTAAGGAGCATGCTAGAAAACCAGCCGAAAATCTTACGATTTTCGGCTGGTTTGAATGGTGCTCGGGTGACAAATGCCGAACGGGCCGGTGTGCGCACGCGCACACTGCCCTTCAGCATTGCAGTCATTGGAAGTCCGCCCCTCAAGGGGGCGGGCTTGCAATGATCGCAAGTACGATCTGCCTGTCCAAGATGGGCAGATCGTACGTTTTTTTAATTACTTTACAACCATTGCAAGACTAAGGTCTTGCGATGGTTGTAAAGTGTATGGGCACCTTAAAGCTGAAACCAGCTCACCCACAACCACACCACCATTTGCTGTCTGATCCATCTTACCACCTTAGAACTTCTGAGTCCAGCAGAGCAGACTATATTTTCTATTATAAATATTTTCTATTTTTTCTTTCACCCTTTAAAGTTGTGGTGCCTTTCTCCATGCAGTGTCTAGACCTGCTTCTGCAAAATACTTTGCATCTTTTATACTACAAAAATCTACTGGACATATTAAATAAGTCAAAGAGCAAAAAACAGTGTAGTAACCTGCAGCATGTGTCTTGAATGTTTCCGTCTGTTCTAAATTGGTACAAAATGAAATGTGATTGATCCAAATCAACATTGCTTTGTATCCTATTACCTGTGTCCCCTGTAAAGGTGGCCATACACTCTACAACCATCGCAAGACCTTAGTCTTGCGATGGTTGTACAGGGATTAAAAAAACGTACGATCTGCCTATCTTGGACAGGCAGATCGCACTCTCGATCATCGCAAGCCCGCCCCCCTGAGGGGCGGGCTTCCGATGACCGCAATGCTGAACGGGCAGTGTGCGCGTGCGCACACCGGCCCGTTCGGCATTTGTCTTCCGAGCACCGTTCTAACCAGCCGAGAATCGTACGATTCCCGGCTGGTTTTTGAACATGCTGGTTCGACAGAAGACGTGCGACCGTACAGTAGAAACGTTCGCACGTCTCCGTTCACACTGCTCGATTATCGTACGAAAAACCGATCGCATACGATTATCGTACGATAATCGTGCAGTGTATGGGCACCTTAACCTAGGTCACTGCACTTCCATTAAAGATGCTTTTCAAATCTTCAAACTGCAGCTAAAGGGTGATTTTAAAGCTGAAAGCTTTGTTGTACACATTGCTCTTATACAAGATGAAGCCTATATGTACAAGGCCTATGGTAATCTTATTTTCCTACTTTGCTCAGCGAACATTGCTTGCTAACATCCGAATGCATGGAGGAAAAGTTGCTATAAATTAAATTGTTGTGCACTTAATGCACGTTTGAAATGAACACAGGTTTACTGGGCCAAGAAAACAAATAGTCCATTACAAAAACCTGTAGTAAGAGGTACGGAGGATGCCATGACTGAGTAAGGACCCGTTCACACTAGCCGACCCGCTAATGTGCTCTATTTTAGCAGATGGGCTACTGCATTGTGACAGCTCCAGTAGTGTGCGTTGTATTACACAGGGCCAGAGCTGTCACTGTTTACATTTTTGTTTTTGCTACAATGTGTAAACTCCATTCAGGTCTACATATGGCAGCATGGTGCACTGCACTGCGTGCGTTGGCATGCAATCCCCTGCGATAAAATGCAACATGTTTGCATTTTACCACAGAGCACCGCCCATTGTGTTGCGTTGTGAATGGGACACCTAGAAAATAATTGTTTTCTATGTGTCCTTGCAATGACCTGCATTGATCCATTGAAGTATAATGCACGTCACCGCTATATGTGTGAATGGACCTGTAGATGCTTTGCATTCAAGCTGATCCGATGGCCACAATGTCTTCTGAGTCCCTGGCCCAGAAAAAGTATGCAGCAAGTGAAGCCAGAAACTATTCAAGACAATGGACTAGCATCAGTGCTAGATAATAGTATGTACCAGGAGTCAGCCATGGTAATCTGCTTGTTTTTTCTTACTACAGGTTTCCCTTCAGTCAACCTCAGGGTGTGCCCAAAGTGTAAACTCACTACATTAAACAGGTGTCTTAGTCCCTAATTAAAGTTAACCACTGATTATCCAATATGCATTCAAATGAGAATGTCCTGACAACTTGATCTTGGCCTGTATACTGATTCTACTAAGGAATGGATTCCTCACCCTTTGCTGGAAAAGATCATAGTCTGTGCTTTGACGGGGATCCTGAAAACATGACCTGAAGTAGAAATGGATTTAAAGTCCAGTGAGCACCCCTCCCCTGGAATAGTGCTTATAGACAATGCATACTGCGGGGTTCTGCTGCTCCACATAATAGCTCTCTGTGTGTCCTAGTCTAAGCCAAATGCTGACCTCAGTTCTCACAGTTTAGAGTGAGACCCAGATCTGGACACAAGAGAGGGATTTTAGTGCTGGGTGGTTAAAATAGCATAAACAGGTCCACGGAATAGTCAGAAGATTGTAGCATTCAAGGAGTCGGTGATACAGATGGCCAGCAGGTAAGGATTCACGCACATTAAACATTACAGGGCTTTGTTACAACAGAGATTTAATATTCTATAAACATTCTCGTTAATCTGAATACAAGAACATCATCATTTAAATGATAGATTTTAGGACTCCTAGCAATGTGGATTATGGTGAATATTGAAGTCCCATAAAACATTTATAGATTTAACTATTGTAGTTGCCACCTACTAATTTGTAAAGCGGACAATATTCATGCTGCTGTGTCATTTCAATGCACAATTCTTTTTATAGAACATGGAAAATGGTGGCGAATTGATAGTTCTAGCCATGTACTGTATATAACAATTGTATGCTAGTAAATAAAAAATCTGCTTTTATCATGATACAGGAGTGGTGATCCGAGGCCACGGATCCTAATCCCATGTATCCAGGTAGTGTCAGAATATTGTTGGCACGAAATGTTATTCCTTGGTGAGAATTGCCTAACTGAAATCAATACATTCCTACTGAAGCAATTACCATGATAGAGTTAAATTTCCTGCTATAACAAGAGTTACTATAGCCTTGCACTGCTGATTTATTTCATACAATGGTGGTAGGTTAGTAAAGCGATGAAACAAATGACTCCCTATTGCATAAACTACACAAATAAAATTGTAGCAGCAATTTATCATGGATGAATGCACAATGTAACGATTGCTATGTGATACTTGTGTAACTTGCACGATTTGTGTCATCTGTTTAACATTATTTGTTGCTCCTACTTCCTCAGGTCACCGTTCACACCTAAGCGTTCCTTAAATACGTTGCAAACACGGGAAAAACTGCATGCTTTGACGTGTGTTCAAGGAACATGTCAAAAACGCCTAATGTGCTTGCAGTGCAACTACTAGTTGCTTTTTCCAGTACCTAGACAAAAATGAGCAGTTAATCCTTGCAGTGTTGGGGTAGCCGTGCGGGGAATGGGGAGGGATGCGCACAGGGTCCCGTGCGGGGAATGGGGAGGGATGCGCACAGGGTCCCGTGCGGGGAATGGGGAGGGATGCGTACAGGGTCCCGTGCGGGGAATGGGGAGGGATGCGCACAGGGTCCCGTGCGGGGAATGGGGAGGGATGCGTACAGGGTCCCGTGCGGGGAATGGGGAGAGATGCGCACAGGGTCCCGTGCGGGGAATGGGGAGGGATGCGTACAGGGTCCTGTGCGGGGAATGGGGAGAGATGCGCACAGGGTCCCGTGCGGGGAATGGGGAGAGATGCGCACAGGGTCCCGTGTGGGGAATGGGGAGGGATGCGCACAGGGTCCCGTGCAGGGAATGGGGAGGGATGTGTCCTGTGAAGGTAATTGGGAGGGATGTGTCCTGTGAAGGGAATGGGGAAGGATGTGCTCAGTGTCCTGTAAAGGGAGTAGGGAGATATGTGCAGAACACACGAGTCTGGAAACACTTGTACAGCTACAAGCAGCTGACCAGCCTCCCTTGGCTGCACGGTTCGCTGTGAGATTAGTAGCTGAGATTATTATTAAGCATTAATAGGAGGTGTGAGGCTGAGAGGCAAGGTGTGGCTGGATGCCACTTGGGCAGGATGCCAGCCAGCTCCTGTGACCCTGGCACTGTGGTGTACTGTAGTGACCTCAGCACAGCTGTGGACAGGCTGTACTTTGTATCAGCTGAGGCTTCTGACTTCCACAGTCACCTGCTGGAAACTAAAGCTGAACCTGCCACATTCTCCCATGCCTCCTCCATGCACACAGAGCACATGCAGCCATCTAGCTGAGGACTCCTTATCTTTAGGGCTGATCACTGCTCCTGATATGCCATGTTGTACATCAGTGCAGACCTCATCCTCACAGCTCTCCGCCTCCTCTGTATTCATTGTACTCAGCAGTCTGTGGCTTACTTGGCATTTCATGTTCTTGCTGCTCCCAGATCCAGGACTTCCCTCCTGGCCCCCAGGCACTTGCTGCAGAAGTTTGTCACCCTGACTCGCATGCTGCTCCCTGGATCCTCGTCTGATGGAAGGGCCCGAGCAGAGGGCACAGCTGGCTCTGGATATGAGATGGGGGAGGTACAGATGTGCCACACTGTCTACCCCTGGCACTCCAACCACAGGGGTGAGCTGAGTGCTGGACAGCTCCTCACTTGGATCGACATTACAGCCTGCCTGGCAGGTAAGATGGCTCCCTGGGAGCACCAGCCTATACACACCTAGCCAAACTGGTTGGTGCAACTTCTAAAGGGATGCTATACTAGATTCAATATTGTAATGTTTGATGTGGCCCTCTTTTTTCATGTTATCTACTTTAGGGATTGTATTTCAGACATTAGATTTAGAGAGAGTCCCCTATGTAATGCTGAGTATCAGGGAATGGTGATGGCTGCCCTGATGGACAGGTGAGAAGTGATAATTTGGATGTGTATTGATCAGACTCATAGACTCATAGAATGAAAGATGCAAATGATTGCCGAGACCCCCTACTAAGCTTTAAGCTATGTACCACTAAAATCTTCAATACAAAAAAATGACTTTATGCTATTAATGTGGATTGCCCCAGCTGTAGAAGTGAGCAAGGTTTAGTTCTTAACTCATTTTACAATCTATACATACTGGGTCTGCTTACTATAAATCAAATATAAAATATTTTAAGTTTTATTTCAGCCACAGTATTTAAAAAAAGTTACATTAAATCCTAAATCACAAAATAATGTATATTTGAGGTATAGAAAGAAGCAGATCCATTATGTAAGGATTGTAAGCCTACATTCACAATATGTGCACAATAGGTGCGTTTGTATGCATTTCAAAAGCTTTTGTAAACGCATATATATGCATCTAATGATTTCCAATGGATCTATTCACGCATTGAATTTCAATGTGTTTACTACGCACCAAAACGCGCAGTAAATGAATTTTGATGCTAAGATTTGGTACCAGATGCATGTAAACACGTGTCTTTTAACACAGAGTTTGAACGCAGCATCTTACCTGACAGATTTTTCTCTGCATGTAGGAGGACAAAAACACAAGTGGCAAGTGTGAATGAAGCCTAAAAGTTAGGAATTATACTTTTATAGTTTATATAGCTGGGGTAGTCCACATTAAAAGCATAAACCTTCCATGCACACTGGGTCTGCTTGTGTCTATATCTCAAATATACATATTTATTGAAGACTATACCAGATCATTGAGAAAAGATTTTTTAGATGTTTTTACAATTTTTTTTTTTTAATGCTCTTAATGCAGATTCCTCCAGCTATATAAGCTGCCAAATGATACATCTTCATTTTTACAATCTATATGTACTGGGTCTGCTTCTGTCTACATCTCAGATATACATATTTATTAAATATTTAGTCACACCCAAAAAACATCTTTAAAAAATATTTGAAACATGTTTTAAAATGGTTTGTTTTTTTGAAATGTGGATTTATGTTTTTAATGTGGGTTACCCCAGCTATATAAACAGTTTAAGTATAAATCTTAATTTTCACAATCCATACATACAGGGTTTGCTTCTGTCTATATTTTAAATATACACATGTATTAAATATTATACCGCACATAGTTTTTTTTTTTGTATGTTACAGTATTAAAATAATATAAATATAACCTAAAGATGGACTACAATCTCACACTTGGTTTACCATTTGTATTGAAATTATAGTCCATCACGAAGCGAGCTTGGCTACTTTACAGGGCCTTATGACACCATTCTACTAGGCTGCAAAGATGTGTGTGTCATAAGTGTCCTATAAAAGTACCTAAAATAGATAAAGCAGTCTTTGAGGGATTTCCAGCTGACCTTCATGTGTTATAATCACATTGCAATCACCTTTAGAACTATCAGTGACTATATTGTTATATACAATCCGATCATAACACTTGTGGTCAGCTTTAGATTTTACATTGAATTCATTTTGGGGGATTTGAATGAAAACCTTTTATATGATATGGCAAACCAATTGTGGAAACAATGAATAGACACATGAGTAGTAAAAAGTACCGTTCAATAGGAATCTCATGACATACTGGACATTTATTATCTAAGTATATAATAATTTACAAAACTAGCATTCAGCTGGAAAAGAGCACATGTGTTTCTCAACCGTAAAGAAATGAAACGTAAAGAATCTAGGTCAGTGGTTCTCAACTTGTGTAACCTCAGGGCCCACATTTGTCCTCGGTCGTTAAGCCGCGACCCAAGTCACACTGAAATAAAATGCACAGCATTGCGGCACCCCGTGTTCCGGTACAGGCGATTGAACTGTGGGTGAGAGGTGCGTTTGGGGTACCATTCAAATGAATGACAACGCAACATACCTCCCAAACCAGAACGTGTGGTACAGTGCATTAATCGCGCAGGACTGTGAGATTGATGCACTGTACTAGTGTGAACGGGCCTTCAAAAACAGTGACATGCATAGACAATCTCACACACTCACAGACATTCTAATGCACACTCCAAAAAAAATTCCACCCCCATCTTCCTACCTTATGAGAACTGCAGTGGATCCTCAGCCATGTGCATTGCACAGCTCCCTAAAACAGGATATCAGGGCCAGTGCTCAGGGGACCAGCTTATTCTGCAGGAAACTAAAACTTTTAAACGTCAACAAGCAGCATCCATTGTAAATTATTTAATCAGCATTTGAAATAGTTTAAAAGCATTTGACGTTAATATCACTTTAAGCTGAAGTTCTGTCTTTGGCCAGTTTCATAGAGAACAATACACTTCCTACTAGAGGCTCATCATGTGTTATATGTTGTCTTTGTCCTCTAAATGATCCTTTTTTCTTTTCAGCTGAAAGACATGCTGGTTGTGCCTGTGTGACAGCATCAGTGGATGACATCCAGATTGAAGAGACAGCCAGGTACCGCTTATCGTTCCATATTTCACCTTTGTGACTGTCTCCAATAGCAGCTGATCTAGTTCAGATAGTGAGAACATTAATTGCTCTATTGCTCTGACTTTCAAGGTGCATAGTAAGCAGACCTTTCAAGTGTTGGCCAAATGGGCAGCAGTGTGCAAAACGCCAACATACAAAGCTATTTGTGTGTGTGTGTGTATGTATTTGTGTGTGTATATCTATCTGTGTGTGTGTGTGTGTGTGTGTGTGTAATATTTTGCTCACGCAGTCTGTAGCATTTCTGTATGCAGTCTGTAGCATTTCTCAAAAAATCTCCAGTCATACCATAGAATTTTGCAATAACAATGTTACATGCATTATGATGTATTTATTTTGTTTTTTCTTGCCCCATGTGACCAAAAATGAGCTTGGACCCAGCCACACATCACAAACAGGCAACTCTACAGTAGGGGTTTATTAAACTTTTTAAACAAAAGTAATCCTGAATACACCTACCCTAATTTTTAAAGGATGGTCCAGTGCATTGTGTGGGAGAATCATGTGTCAGTTTGCCTGTAGCTTGACTGGACAGTCCGTGTTCCTCCATAAAGTTCCCTGGAGGTTTGTCCGGCAAGGTAGGGACAAATGTGGCTAGCTTCATCTATGAAGGTTGAATATGGGACCTGCATGGTGGTGGGGCTAGAGTGCGGCATTAGTTGTATCATAACCTGCAGAAAATATTGGGATTAAATGCCAGGCCTAGAAATCTAGATCCCGTGCCACTTCCATTTTGCAAGACTTATCTAAAGTGTTCAGAATCATGCGAAATAGTGCCCGTTATATTGGACCATTAGGAGGGGTTATGTTCTCTGCAGAGCTGCATGGTTTTTGCTGTGAGCAGGTATCAGATGTGCCTTTCTCCCAGTGTCTGGTGCTGATTGATAGACTGTGCCAGCACATGAGTCTGGTGCCATCTGAGTTTTTCCACATATAGTATGAGTCAACATGTATTTTTTTTTTTTTTTTTTTTTTAAACTGGTCCCTGTAGTGGAAACTTGAGGACAGAATTATGGGAACTCCTCTTACTGACTTGTTTCCAAAGGTGCTCTGGGGCGATCAGCTTCATCATGTCTTAACTACTGATCTGAAAAACAATGCAAACTTGTTCCAGGTCAGCCAACCAAATAGCAGTCCTGCAGCGAACACCAAGTCTGTATTTAAAGCTCCATTGTTTTACATCTCCCAGCTTCTCAAGTATTTTTTTCTTGGGACATTTACTTTACAGTCAACCATTGTTGTCCTAAAGACAGCAATGGTGCACATCACATTGAAGGACCCATAGGGAAGCTTGCAAAATGGGAGGGATGTAATTCAGCATCCATGCACTGTAGTGGAGTGTTCTACCACTGAAACCACAAAAGGGTAGCAGGGCCTTATGTTACCTGTGAATAGTGTCTAGAGTTCCTCTTTAATATGACCTTTATTTACAAAGTATCAGGTTAGTGATGTGTTCACAGGTAATTCTGCTGATGTTTTGTCAGAACAAACAGTGCTGTATCTTTCCCATGTCATCCATATTGTCTATATTTAGGTGGCATTCAGTGATGCTGTCAGGAATTTAAATAGCGGATCATATGAAGTTGCCTCCTCTTCTCCAATTGGTTGCCTTGTACTCTGGCAGCTGAGAATGGAAAACATTTTGCCAAGTCCTTTTCTAAGCAGTGGCCTATTTTCATTCCACAGACCTCTTCTGTCTTCCTGACAAGAATTGTTCCAGGTTACAAGCTAAATGAATGCTTTAAATGGATGGGAGCAGGAATGAGTAAATGATTTCAATAGATGTTCAGGGACATTTTCTGCCACAAAAGCCTTCCCTTTATTAAGATGAATAGCGCAGCTTAGAAAGGAGTGATGCTTTGCTCCTCGATATCGGACAATTAAATAAAATGTTCAGAAGGTGTTTAACTAGTGTGGTCTGCGAGGAACCAACGCTTTCACCCTGCTCAAAATCGATTTAATTTGATTCCATTTATGTTAGTGATTATAGAAGTGTCTGTGTAATGTAGGATGATGATTGATGTGAAGTAGAGCAGTCACCATACTATCTTATACTGTAATTTCTTCACATAGGTGTCATTGAAAAGAATTTACTCTCTGTTCGGTAGTTTAGTCCTTGTCTATAGTACATCCAGTAAAGGTTCCCATCGTTTTGGGATTGTGGGTTTAAAGGGTTAATCCATCCAAACTACATTGTTCAGGTTTTGGAGTATGGCTTTATGTTGAATTATCTACTGACGCCTCATAACTCTCAGGGACTCCAGCACCAAGATATCATTGTAAGAGCCTTTGGCTTACATCCTGCGGCAGCAACTCTATATTATATTAAAGTAGACCCCTTATAATGGTTGAGGTAGGTGGGTGTAGCTGAAATCTCAGACACAGAGACCTCATAACTAAAATTATCTAAGTAGAATGTAGGTGTAGGTAGGTAGGTAGGTGTATACCCAACACTGAAATATCAGCATTCTATGGATTGGCCATTGATGGTCCTTGCTAATGACTTTGGTTGAGATTCTGGTTTGGGTCACACTCATGTTTCACGGTTCTACAAACAAACTGGTCCAAACTAGTCGGCTCACCCCATCCGAATCCCTAGCTGCTAAAATGTAAAAACAGCTGGGGATCCCGGGCAAAGTCATTGACCAGATATGGTTATGACCCTTTTTGGTTAATGACATCACCCAGGTTCCCCACCACTGTGTTTTATACAGTGAGGAAAATAATGATTTGATCCCCGGCAAATTTTGTAAGTTTGCCCACTTACACAGAAATGAAAGGGCTATAATTTTTTATCATGGGTGTATTTTAAATGATAGAGACAGAATATCAACCAAACATCCAGATAAAACACATGATACAAATGTTATAAATTGAGTTGCAGTTCAGTGAGTAAAATAAGTATTTCATCCCCAAGCACAACATGACTTAGTACTTGGTGGAGAAACACTTGTTTGGCAAACGCAGAGGTACGATGTTTCTTGTAGTTGGTTACCACGTTTGCACACATCTCAGGAGAGATTTTGGTCCACTCTTCTTTACAGATCGTCTTTAAATCCATAAGGTTTCTTGGCTGTCGCTTGGCAACTCAAATTTTCAGCTCCCTCCATAAGTTTTCTATAGGATTAAGTTCTGGAAACTGGCCAGGCCACTCCATGACCTTAATGTGCTTCTTCTTGAGCCACTGCTTTGTTACCTTGGCGGTATGTTTTGGGTCATTGTCACGCTGAGAGACCCATCTTCAGTGTTCTGGCTGAGGGAAGGAGGTTCTCATCCAACATTTTAAAATGCATGGTCCCGTCCATTGTCCCCTCAATGCGGCAAAGTCGGCCTGTACCTTTTTAGCAGAGAAACCAACCCAAAGCATAATGTTTTTACCTCCGTGCTTGACTGTAGAGATGGTGTTCTTAGGGTCATAGTCAGCATTTTTCTTCCTCTAAACACGGCGAGTTGAGTTAATGCCAAAGAGCTCAATTTTGGTCTCATCTGACTGCAGCACTTTCTCCCAATCCTTCTCTGAATCATTTTAGATGTTCATTGGCAATCTTCAGACGGGCCTCTACATGTGCCTTCTTGAGGAGGGGGACCTTGCGGGTGCTGCAGGATCATAATCCATGGCGGTTTATTGTGTTACCAATGGTTTTTGTGACTGTGGTCCCAATTGCCTTGAGATCATTCACAAGCTCCTCCCGTGTAGTTCTGGGCTGCTCACTCACTTTTCTCATGATCATCCTTACCCCATGAGGTGACATCTTGCATGGAGCTCCAGACCGAGGGCGATTTGATGGTTATTTTGTATTCTTTCCATTTAAGAATAATCGCTCCAACAGTTGTTTCCGTCTCACCAAGGTTCTTGCTGATAGTCTTGTAGCCCATTCCAGCTTTGTGCAGGTCTACAATCTTGTCCCTAACATCCTTTGGCAGCTCTTTGGTCTTGCCCATGGTGGTGAGTTTTGAATGGAAGAAAGATTCTGTGGATGGGTGTCTTTTATATACATAACGAGTTGTTGTTAGGAGCACCTTCTTAAATTGACAGGATTAATCTGTGTACCCCATAGCCAGTCTGTGGGAGCCAGAAATATTGTAGGTCGGTAGAGGATCAAATACTTATTTTACTCACTGAACTGCAACTCAATTTATAAGATTTGTATTGTGTTTTTCTGGATTTTTGGTTGATGATATTCTTTTTTCTATCATTTAAAATACACCTATGATAAAAAGTATAGACCTTTCATTTCGTAATAAGTGGGCAAACTTACAGAATCTGCAGGGGATCAAATAATTTCCTCACTGTATGCCCGCAATGATGGGGATCTGCCATTTGCATAGGAAACATTGTCCAAAAGTGGGGCATCTTAGTGGCAGGCTAACATAGTTAGGTGGCAGGTGTCGGGGTTAATGATGGATTTACATCACTGGCCGATGTGAATAGATTTAACCTGTTGCCGTCTCCCCGTTGCAAAAGGACGGACGGCGGACCCGCATTTGCGGACCCGCATTTGCGGGTTGCCGTCTCCAGACGGCATTTTTTTTTCTGCTCGTGCGCACCTGGGCAGAAAGAGCCCATTCAATGCAAAGAGCCGTTAGGAGGACTGAAGCAGCAATAAAACACAACAGAGTGCACTCGCCTTGTGAAGCACATTTAGTCCACTTATTGAGTAAAAACCAAGATCTAAAGTGTAAAATGTCCGGCATATAACCGTTATTTTTGTCCAGCGGGTAGAAGATAAGTAACTCTAGCATCCGCACAGCAGGTTATGTAAAGGCTGATGTGTTTCTGGGGTCCCACCTCCTTTCTTTAGAGACTCTAAGAAAGGGGATTGGACCTCCAGATAAATAGCTGCATGTATTGGTGCTTTGTTTTTTTTGGCTGAAAATGTCTGCAGTTCAGTTTTAAAAGCCATTACTGAGATTACTTGGGTAATGGTTTAAAAAAGGCATTTCTCTAGTACTTTGTTTTATACAGTATATGGAACTCAAGTGTATTCAACTGCATAAGCAACCGGTATCTTTTTTCTGACAATTTATTGTTAAATACTTACAATTTATTTCTCAGGTATACCCTATTATACTGCATTGAAGTTTGTTGTTTTTTTTTATTTTTTATAGTGTTGGACAACAAATCTGCATTAGTGCAAAAGTAAATCGAGCTTTTAACACAAGCATGGAGGTAAGAACTTAATATTCCCTCTCTGCATTTTCAAATGACCGACATCCACATTTATGCTAAGCCATGTCGGCATCATTTAATTGTGTTTTAGTTATTGAAGCTAAAGGGTTATAATAACAGTAATATTTGAGTTTTAATAGTTGTTTATGGGGATGTACAGGCAACAAATAAATAGCAGTAAACTGCTGATCTTAGTGTTTGTGCCATAATAACTAGTTATTTGTAGAGCAGCAGCTGGAGTCTATTGCACAGGAAAAAACAAGCCAAATGAATGTGAGGAGCAAGAAAGTTTTTTTGCATTGCAATTATTTCAAGGTAAAGCCCAACTCCCCTTTTTTTTTTTTTTTTATAGGGTTTAGAAGGACTATATCCTCTAACATCGACTTTGCTGCAATTTTATTGATGGTTATAAGGTCTATAGTTCACACTAATAACAGATTCATGGTTATGATATTGTCTGTATTTTTACATAATTTGTGTGTAGCCCTTATGAAGGGGATATGTTAAAACCCTAATATATATTGGCTAAGATAACCGCAATTAAATAAAGCATCTTTGAATAAGAACCATTCATCTTTTCCTGTATAAGGCTTTGACACTCCAAACTGGAGAAGAGTGCTCATTCTTAGCTGTACCATGTTTGCATCACATCTTGTGCATGTGGGCAGCCTATATCTTGTATTATAGTGATAGATTAAAGCTTTTTTTTGGTTTGCGTCCAGATTCTTTTCTTGTATACCAGAATCCTGCTGCACTCCTTACCAGGTATCCCTGTCGGCGTGGGTGCTCGGAGTGATTGCGGATGGTGCTGCTCATAGCAGAACGTGATAGAGATGTCACCAGCACAACGAGTCAAGTGAAGCAAATGTCTATTTATTGAGGCATCATGTCATAAATTACTTTTCGAAGCCACACAGGGCTTGAAATGATGCTGATGAAGGGGATCCCCGTGTGGCCTCGAAATGTTGTAATTTGTCGTGACATGATGCGTCAATAAATAGACGTTTGCTTCACTTCACTCCGGTGTGCTGGTGACATCTCTATCAAGTTCTGATTCTTTTCCCAGTTATTTTATGCCCACTTCTCCCCATTTCCTTTCTGTCAGAAAGGACAGGATAAAAGGGAAAATATTCTCATCAGCAACACAGACAACATTTAAATCCTGTCAAAGGAGGCACCACCTCTTCAATGCTTTTCCAGGTTTTGGCTGGAGTTGGGCTTTAACTCGCTTTGGACCACATGTCATTAAATAAATCAAGATTGTGGCTTGCCTGCATCAGAAAAATTTATAGGGTTCCTGAAGATTTCAACCAGAACTGTTGCCTCTATTGCGATGCTGCTGACAATATAAAATGTTATGACTTTTTTGTTATTTCCACTTCAAATGTAGTTTGTTTTTTTTTTGTTAATTTACAGGTTGGTATTAAGGTTGCAGTAGAAGATCCACTTACAAATACCCAGAAACACGTTTGTAGAGCATTTTCAACCTATGTGGTCAAACCAGCTGGAGATAAAAAGGTAAAGTCTTGTCTTGCTATTAGCTCTCGCAGATTCTTTGGGGAACTGTAGAGTATGTGGATTGTAGATATTAGACACCTGAAGCACTTGTGTAGAACGAAAGACAAAAAGAAAAATGTGGCCAGTATAATAAACTGAAGGGTTAACCCTCAGCTCCCCTTTTTGTATTAGGATTTTTGTTTGTTTTCCCAAGCGGTTGGCCATCTAACATTGCATTTACATAAATGTTTTAGAGAAAAGCAGCATCTTTCTTAAAGCAGACGTAGACAAGAACATATTTATTAATGCTATACCAAACCGTAAGTCCGTTAGCAATGATATAGCACTGACTGTTTGCTCAGACCCACTTTTATTTTATTCCAAAGAGCTGTATGGCTATAAAGCAGCTGCCATATTAGTGGAGCTATAACAAGGCCTACTCCTAGACCTGCTCCCTATTAATACCATAAGTGTTATCCACTTGCAGCACTAACACCCTTAGAGGTTGCTTGATTTAATGGACCCTCCTAGCTGTACAACTGCACTCAAACAAAATTCAACTCTGTCCGTTTTCTTTTTGGCTCAAATGTCTGGGGGAAAGAGTGCCCCTAAACAGGTTTAAAAAAAAAAGCTTCATTCAGTACATTCTCTTAGTATCGTTGACCCCTGCCACAGCCCAAGGTTCAACACCTTGGTCTGCCACAGGCTAGTGAACATTAGGTAGGCCAGATGGACAGCTACCTATTTTAAATATTTCAGCTCTTCACATCGGCTAGTAATGGACCTTTTAGGCAGAGACCAGCAATTGACTAAGTAGAACGCTTCTTAAGTTTCTTTCATCAGGCAGCAGACATGAGAAGCATGAACTAGGCCTTTCTGAAGATATCCCCCTCCATCTCTCCCAGTCAGCAGGCCTCGAAAACCAGGACACTCCTCACACACCCTCCCCAGGCAGCAGGGAAGGAAAGAGCCTTCTAGAAGCTCTAAAAGACTTTGGCCTCAAAGGCTAAACTGGAAAAATTGTTTGGTATCCTGTTTACAAGTGGACATGGAAGGGGTTAACTGGGACAGTGGGTTACAAACTCCATGTGAAATTTCACATGAAATCTAAAAAGGTTGTGTCTAGGCCCAAACAGCCAATAGTGGCAGGTACTCTTTGATACTAAAAGCAACATAATATCACACCATCTATAACATCCTATTACTATCCAACTAAATAGCATCAAGACAGATCACATTTTAAGTGTAATTCATGTGCCCTGTTTCCCCAGTTGTAGACATGTTGTCAGTTGCCTGCAAGATGGCAAAAACAGCAGGGCAACAGACAAATTCTGAAGCCCCGTTATCACAAGGGTGACACTCCAAGGCATATTATATTTTTTTAAAGCTGCAAGTACAGAAAAATACCTGTTGATCCTGTTATAATCCTCACTTCCTGTTTAAGCTGGCACCCAAGTCTGGCTTCCATCTTATGTCCATGGCTGTCCGTAAAAGGGCAAATATCTCCTTAAAAACCATAGGCTGGGAGATGTCTACCTGAGATTGCCAGGTGTGTTCAGCTTTGGGACCTGCCATGGTGTTCACTCAACAGTGAGGTACTTTCTGACCCTTCACACTTCTATAACGAGTGAGAGGATAGGACCCACACACGAGATTTTTTTTAGCATGGGCCTCAGGGACTCCTTATTACTCTCAGGAAGAAAAACGCTGGACTTTTTTTTTTTTTTTATTTGGTTTAACTTTTTAGGCCTCCTTTGTGTTAACAAAAAGTTTTAAAATGCACGAATGATCTTCTCCATGCTCCAGTGTTGCTCTCCTTGTCGTCCATGCTCATTCTTCACACAGCCACTTCTTGGTTAAATGACTTCCAGCATCATCCAACTCCTTCCTGTGAGCCCAGGCTGTCAAAGACTCATCCTCTAGGCTCAGTATTATTGTGTAGTTTACATTCACAGTGTAATTTTGCATTAAACTACCCTCACATGTTACAACATGAGCACTGTTCTGTGTAGCACTGAAGACTGGCCAATGCTGGAGATGGAGAAGAGGACAGTGCTCATCACATGTCCACGTGAAATACACCTAGAATTAATGTATGTGTTCCATTTCACGGTTGTGTATAAACGGCCAAAGCTGATTTTTACGTTGTGATTGTTTTGGCTGCATTCTGACTAATCTCAGTAAGGTAAAGGTGACTGTGTGTTTCTCTATCTCCTGGTCATCTTCATTTTATAATCTGGGGTCAAAGTTCCAGAAAGTTACTAAAGGACAGGAGCCTTAATTATTAACTGCAATACGGTTCTCTTGTGTTTTGGGCTTTATATTGTAAATGTTTGTCTGATTTCTGCCACTTAACATTTAATTTCTATAGAGGTTTTATTGAAATACAATTTTTAAAGGGAATATGTCCTGAGCAAAAAGGCACAGATGAAAGCTGCCAAGCTCTGCATTTAAATCTGAACTCCAGGCAAATGGCTAAATCCACAGATGAAATACATAGCAAGCCAAAGGATTTGTATTTCTGTCCATCCAGCCCTGATATTTACACAGCTCTATCACAAATCGCAACCCTGTCTGGCAGGGCAAACAACCTGATTTTTCTCTGCTGCAGATAAATGATATCTATGGTCCAAAACGAAATATGTATTTCTATAGTGAATTTCCATAAGTTCTATCCTTCTTTTAACCATATTGATCTAGAAGTTTTGTAAACTTTCTCAATGCACTGACACACATTCATTCAGCCCTGTGAATGTCCACTTCCCTGTGTCACAGCTTTCACAGGGTCTGCCTTCTGGACTACAGTCTCAATGCTTACTGGAAGCAATGCATTATGGACTATGTAGGCTTGCGAAATAGAGATTGTGTCACATTGAGCAGCAGGGAAAGAGACGCAAGGCACACTGGGAATCCAGGAAGTTGATGAAAGTGATAAAAGGGATTTTTTTTCAAGTAGGCTTTGATTGCATTTACAAAAACAATAATGACTGGTGACGAGATACAAGATCCAAACTGGATGCAAGATCAAGATATTCAAAGGCAGGATACAGGCTTGTGCAGACAGAACTAGACAAGACTATCGTAAGCCCAGAGCCCTGGGCTTGTGATGCTTAAATAAAGCACCATAACCAATCCCAAGACTGAGGGGGGAACCTGTCAGTTTTGGGATACAGCGCGCATGGTGTATCTAGATTCAGACCGGTTGCGCTATCAACGTAGCGGGACGCTTTAGTTCTACCTTTGCAATAGCCACCTTCTCCATTCCTGGCTTGATGGGCTCCCTAGTTCTGCAGCTGCAACACCGATCTTCTGCCTTAATATGCTTGGCCCTCTAATGCTGCAGTTACTCATCTTCTGCTTTGGCCGCTGGGCTCTGTAGCTCGCCCCGCTCTAGAGACATAACCCTGAACGGAGTTTATAGGCTGCACTTCCTCGGACTCGCCACCACGGAGGTGCCGATGAGCACGATGACCATCTGGATCTCACCCTTGGGGATCCTGCGGAAGCTCCTCCGCTGCCTGAAGTCAGAAATTTGGGTGCCGGTTTCCTATGGAGGTCCGAACTGCCAGTGCATCTGGACGAAGGTCGCACACACCAATACATTGCACAGCACATTGACCACGAAGAGGAAGGAGCTGCAGCATACATGTAGGAGTAGATGGCATAGGTGGACACATTGATCCCCCAGTCAAAGTAGCACCAGGCCCAGGAGTACTGGCAGTAATTTGAGTCATTTATAATATATTTTATTTTTTCTCTCTCACCTAACTGGTTTGGGGGCAGCATTTTCTTGGTTCCCCCCTGGAAAGTGCCGCCCTAGGCAAATGCCTAGTTTGCCTTGCAGTAGATGCACCCCTGGGTGCAGCCAGGCTCAATAGCCCACTGCTGACAAGGCTGGAATAGGTGCAATGGCAACCAGAAGGAGCTGGGAGGTTGCAATAGACATATGAGCAATACACAGGCTTCTAACCGGAAGAATGTCACGCACTGGCCATGACAGATGGAACACAAATTTAAATAATACTATTGTCTGTCAGCTCCAGTTTTTTTGAATTCCTGCTGGATGTACAGGATCCCATGAACCTTAATGACAAAAGCTTTAGAAACAAAACCAGACGCAAAGTGCAGTTGGTGCCTATAGTTAATGACCAGATCAGCCTCTTTAATGCTGCAAAATTGAAATCTGATTTTAAAACAAATCTGGTTGGTATGTTCAGTTTTCTTCTTTACAGTTTATTTTTTTTCCATAAAAGTCTTATAAAAACTTCCCGTGATTTATTTTATTTCACTGAAAGGGTTTTCTTCTGACGTTCCATTGAGGGTTATGTAAGGTTACCAGTTTAGAACACTGTTTAGAGGAGTTCTTTAAATAACGTCCAGCCATGTACTAATAATAAGTCAAGTGGTTATGTAAGTACTTTTAGAGTCTTGTGCTAAGATAACTTTTGTTATAAATTGTTGTACTGTTATGCAATGATATCTAATGGGTTTATTGCATTTCAGTTTTTCCACTCTAATCTTTTTTGCAGGTTAAACTAAAACCTGTCAAGCTTCAAACTCCAGAAGAGTACTTGGAATACAGCCTGGCAGCGGAAAGGAGGCGTATCCGACTTTACCATGAAGTGTCCTATAACAATCTGATGGAGGAGAGCTGTGCTCTTTATGGTTTGTGAGATAAATGCATGTACATTTATACAAATAATTAAGTGGCTGATATACTGAAAATACCAAGCGGTTTCCTGTTGCATTAGTAGATGTTGTGCACAGTATTGGTGGTTTACAAAAATTGCTGTACGTTTATAACAGGGTGTGGTGTGCAAGAGCTCCATGTTTTGCCATATAAAGGACTGGGTACTTTTCAGCCTATATGGTGCAATCTAGACTTATAGGAAGGTAATACCTACAAGAGTGGGTGGCATTCGTAAAAGTGAGTGTTCTCGGTTCATTTAATAGAGAAGATATGTTGTCTGCACACCTCCTGCTTCAAAATTCATCCTTTCTTGATGTTCGTTCAGCATATCAAAAGAAATTGCAACCTTTTGGAACCTCACAGGGTCACTTCATCAGGCAAAGTGAGGTGCAATCAAGACACCAAAAGTTGAGGAAAGCTTAAACAGACTGATGTTGCCTAACCATTAAAAATGTATCGCCTATCATGCCAGCAGGTAATGGCATCAGGGTCAAGGAGGTCAATTCTTAGGCTCCTACAGCAGTGGTTCAGTGCCACATTCGGTGCTAGGCCTGAAAAAAAAGTATACTTCACAACATTTAGACCTCCTGAGATCAAGACAGTGGATTGAGCCAATGACGTTGGTTTTCGATTTCAAACAAGTACCTACATAATTTAAAATAGCTGGACTTGGTGAGCAGTGGCGTAACAACCGCGGGGCCGGCCGGTGCGCTGGCCCCGGGCGTAAAGCTGAAGGGGAAAATAGCACTTTTGGCTAAATGCTGAAAGTGCCTTTTTCCTGCCGTTTTGTCGGCGCATCCGTGATTTCTTTCCTCCCCGCTGGGCGCTGCTTTGTCCCAGCAGGGAGGAAAGAAAGTGACAGCTGGCCGAGCGCTGCGGGAGGAGACCGCCGTGAGCGGCCGGTGTCTCTCCTCCCACACCGCCCAGCCGCCTATCAGTCTGGCAGAGCAGTGTGAGGGCGGAGACAAGCCACGCTGTCACAGGAGGCTGGGCTCTCCTCCGTGCACTGCTCGCTCAGCCTCCTGTGACAGTGTGTCAGAGAGGAGAACGAGCAGTGCAGAGAGAGTAGATAATTGAGGATATGGTATGGTTACTGTATCCTCAATTATGAATGAATGGGAGTAATCTACATCCCCTACTGTTCATAATTGTGGTTATAGTAAACATACTCTGTTAGCAATGAACAGGAACACTCATAGAGGATTCCTGTTCATTGATAACAGGAGATACAGAAAAAGAGCTTGAGGACTCTGTGTTCTCAATCTCCTCCTCCTTTTTCTATTTTAAAAGGGAAATATCAGGGGTCTGTTTAGACCCCTAATATTTCCCCAAAGCCCCTAAAAGTAAAGTAAAAAATAAAAATATTTAAATGAATTAATAAAATAATTTAAAAAAATTAAAGTTTATTAAAAAAAAAATTAAAAAATTTGAAAAAATAAAAACGTGGGGGTGCGGGGTACAGTTCCAATGGATGTTTACATAATGGGGGGGGGGAATTTCTGTCCCGGGCGCCCATAACTCTGGTTACGCCGCTGTTGGCGAGCTGCCTAATCTAGCCGGATCTCCAATTCAGAAGGAGATTTTATGTTTATCTGCAAACAATTTGTTATTTTTGCAGATTTCTATCACAAACTTTTAGCTTTTGTCCTTTAAAGTATAATCTGCTTTCTGGTGAGCAGTTAAATTATTCTCTTTGTCAGGTTTGCTTTTTTCCATAAAACTAAATTAGGTTTTGCCGAACATCTAAATGCAGGTACAATTATTTTGTCCAGTGTTTTGTTTTTCCACTCCTAAAGTGATTTTAGAATTAGATATCTTATGTTGTTTTAGAAGTTCCCATTACATGCTCATTGATTCTCTATTACAGACCCTGATTGGGAAAATGACAGCAACAAGATCTCCACAGATTGTACCCGTGTAGAGAGCATTGAACTGGTTCTTCCACCTCATGCGAACCACCAAGGGAACACATTTGGAGGACAGATCATGGCTTGGATGGAAACTGTGGCTAATATTTCTGCAAGGTCATTTGTAGATTTATTTGGGAAGATATAATATTTCACCTTCTGTAGTTTTATTAGGCAAAACTTGATTTAGTCGTACCCTGCATTTGTTTATTTTTCAATATGTTTGGCATGATGCCTCACTGTGTACAGTTAGCTTTATGGCCATTTCACCGTTGCAGAGGTATTTTTTTTAAAACATATGCCAGCAATATCCCCCGAGTATACATGATATACAGCAACTGCATTTGCCTTCTTCAACACATAAACATACATTTTTTCCTTTTCATATCCTCCATGGAAATGGCCGTCTATGGACAATGTATTGTGTGTAAAGGCAGAGTTGGTGTTTAGTGATCATGTTGCACAGAATCACAGAGATTCGCAGGGCAGCTGTTTTACAATCCGACCCTGGTGTCGACTGAATTTCCTGTGGAGAAAATTTTGAATTTCTAGAATTCAGGCCTAATAAAAAATGAAGAAAACCAGCATTGTGAGTCATGAAAATGTGCACATGTATACATCATCATTGCACCTCTTCATTACCACAATAAATGCTAATCACTAACAAAGGTGTAAATTGACTTTTTAAAGGGAATCTGTCATGAGAGAACAATGGAGGCTGCCATTGCAGACCTGCATTGTTTTCAATGCTGTCTTGGGTCTTTGACAAGGAACAAGTATAGAGATGAGGTACACTTTTTTTCTGACACATTTCAGCATGCTTATTTTTGGTATCTGGCTCAAATGTAGTAGACAGCCAGGTAGTTTGCATTTTCAAAAAAAGGCCAGCAATGGCAGCCCCCATACTTTACTCATGACTGAGTCCCTTTTAAGGGTAAGTTCATTTTCTCACAAAATGTGAAAAGATTAACCTACCGTCACCTACCTGCCATCTCTCCTGGCCCCTGCTGCACATATCTGTGTGATCCATTGACAGCCCTCCCGCCAGCTGGTGTACAGTCCATACTCCATACTTCACAGCCCCACAGTATGTAATGAGCATACTGCCCGCAAATGCCAAGCACTCATTGGTCTGCGTGGTCACATGACCACACTGACCAATGAGAAGCGCCTCTTCCAAGACCGCACCCTTAGCTCAGCATTTCTCATTGGTCTGTGTGGTCATGTGGCTGTGCTGACCAAAGAGCACTTGCTATTTTCCTATTAACTACAGTAGTGTCTAGCATGGTGTACAGACCATACATTGGCTGGTGGGGGATCACACAGAAAAAAACACCAAGAAGTGTGAATATTTTTTACAAGGCACTGTACATTTATGTTCCCACACATCCAACCATGGAATCCATTCACAGCTGTGAATTCTGTAACACAGGCAGGTATTCCTGGTAATTTAGGTCCTGCTTCGCTAAATTCTGGCCCCTGCTTAAAACATTTGCATTGATAATTCAGTGTTTTGTTTATTTGCTGTTGCTTTTCTCTCTCTGAAATATATTGTGCCTTTTATTGAGATAAGGAAATATGCTGTCAGTGTGTTGAGTACATTTAATATGCTGTTTATGCCATCATGAAATAATTAAGTAACTCCTAAAATGCATAAAGACGCCATCAAAATATAACTTTTCCACTTTCTCTGTGCAGCCGCCTGTGTCATACACATGCAGTCCTTAAATCTGTGGACATGTTTAAATTCAGAGGACCTTCTACTGTTGGGGATCGACTGATATTTCGAGCCATTGTAAATAACACCTTTCAAAAAAGGTAATACTTGAGAGCATTCTTTATATAAATATTTTAACTGTATTGTCTTCAAGACTTAATTATCTATTATTTAAATAAAACATAAGTTAAACAGTAATACAGTTCTACAGCTTGACCAGTGATGATTTTAAAAACAAGTTGTGTTAAAAGAGAACAATGGGGTAAGTGGTTTTTCCCCATAGTTCTCCTCAGGGTCACGGGAGGACATAAACTAGCGTCCTCCCGTGACCCAAAGCTCAGTATATTGCAAGCTGCAGCTCGTGGTATACTGAGACGCCGCAGCCGGGACGGATCCCGACATTACTGTCGAGATCCGCCCAGCTGCGTGAGTGACAGCTGGCTCTGCCTATCTAGAGGCAGAGTCAGCTGTACCCGCCCCCTCCCCCGTTTGTTCCTCCTGTCAGCGCTGGAAGATCCGCGAGTGACAGCCATGGCTCTCTGCAGGGACAGGATCGAGAAATGAGCGAGCAACGGTATGTGTTCGCTCATTTCCCGATCTATTGAGCCGACCTGTGACAGTTTCATTGTCACACGTCGGCTCGAACTATGAGGTTGAGTGAAAAACACTCTCCTCATAGTTCTCCTTTCTATATAGATATAGGGGCATATTTATAAAACAGTCAATGTGATATTCCCCAAACATTCACTGCAGGTGAATCAATGGCTAATTTAAATTAAGTGCACCAGGAAGACACACCTGCAGTGACTGTCACATTTGCCGCTTTATAAATATGCCCCATGACGTTCCAATTTTATTTTGCGATGTGTCAGTCATTATGGCAACAAATATTTCTGGTACAAAGTGCGACCACATTATTTACAAATAAAATGAAGGCAGTTTTTAACATTTTGCATGTATGTTTTTCATTTAATGATCGCAATGCAAAAACACTAAATGAAAGAAAACACCAAACTCATGTATACGATATAGTTTATTTTAAAACAAAACGGAGAAAAGGATAGAGGAAGGTGTTTAAAAGGACCAGGGATAACAAAGAATTAATCAGGGGTTTAGTAAGAAACGACATAAAATAATGTAGATTTTTTTTTATTTTACTTTCAGGTTTTATTTAGCTGATATGTAAAACAAACAAACAAAAAACAGATAAAATAAGATGCTCCTGAGAACGCCGCTAATAGCAATGTATCAATATCTGTTTACGTTTTAACAAGCACTGCAAAAAATGCTTCAGCTGATCAATGCTGAAAGAGCCTACAGCAGATTTGCAAGAGATCCTAACAGTTGCACCCATGGGCAGACCCTTAATTAGTTGATGATCATAAAGTGGACTTAAAAACTCTTCTCATTATTACATAGGTTGGAACTTTCATGTGCTCTACTATTCTGGATGAGCACAGTCATATAATCGTGTTTGATCATTTTAGACAGTCCATGGTCCCATCGCACTCCTGAACGCGTGAATCCCTTTGAGAATTGGGTGTTGCGGTAGTCAACGGGTGGCAGCCGTAACAATTGTGAGCTAAAGCAGAGACACCGGCACTCCAAATTTGCAAAATACGTCTATTTATTGACGTGCATCGTGGTAAAAAACAACGAACATTTCGGGGTCACAAAGATCCCCTTCATCAGGTAAAACATAGTCAATGAGAAGATCCCCTTTATCAGGTAAAACATAGTCAATGTATGTTTTACCTGATGAAGGGGATCCTTTGTGACCCCGAAACGTTCGTTGTTTTTTTACCACGATGCACGTCAATAAATAGACGTATTTTGCAAATTTGGAGTGCCGGTGTCTCTGCTTTTAGCTCATGATCATTTATTCATTTTAGACTTCACTTTAAAGCAAACCTGTGGTCTGGGTTCGCCATCTCCAGACGGATGGCTAGTGCAAGCACACCCTGATATAAGGAGCACTCCGTTACCCCCCCCCCCAAATCCCTATGTTGTACTAAGCAGAGGCAATTTCTCTTTCTGCTTGCTCTGTGGCCTTCTTTTTCCTGCACTCCTCTGCTCCATATTGGCCTGTGAGTCCACCCATCACTTTATGCTGCTAATGGGCAGTCAAAAAGGAAGTATTGAGATTAGAAGATGTCTGACAGTTTTTATTGCAGTGTATCTTGTGTATCCATTTTCTATCGAAGTGCTGTAAGCACCATTACTGGCAGGGCACCACAATGCATGTTGCTATGCAGATCTATTGGCAAAGTGTGTTGCCATACTGTTCAGAATGAACACCATATTGAACCAGTGCATGTAATGTGTGTTTCTGTTCCTTACTGCCAACACAATGGTGTGAATGGGCCCTTACTGTACCAGTGATCACATTGCACCCTTTTGCATTTGTTTCCATTTTGTTTTCTTCTTGAACCTTTCTTGGAGAGAACTATTTATGCTAACATGTTCAGTGCAGTCCATTGCATTGTTTGTACACCTTTTGGCAGCTTCATATCAAGTCATGTAAGATAATCCGGCTAATAATTAATACATGGCTTGTATGTAACCTTTGTGCGTACAGTGTGCATTTATTTACATGTTACAACTGTTAACGTTTATGTTGGAATTCTGTCCCATGCTGTTGTGTCCCTAGTTAAATTTAGGGTATGTTGTTGCTTGGCTGTAACCAGCCTGAGCATCGGTTTGCTTTTTTTAGGTTCTGCAGGTCTCGGGTTGATTTTGCTTCTGCTTGTTACTGTGAAGTTTCAGTAATTAAAGTGGAAAGGAGTTATGGATATGGATCTCACCCAACCAATCCCTGATGTCGTTGTTCTGAGGTATGGATTGGGAGATGATACATATTTGAGTCACCTTTCCAGAGTGTTCTGTTGCTTCTGGGATTTTGCTTGATGAGGATGCGTGTCTAGAAGGACCTCTGCTTGGACCCAACCTCAGCCTGAGGTATGTGCCAGAGGACCAAAGACTTAGTGACATTAAAGGCTAATTCTTTTTCCCCTCCCCCCAATGTTAGTGTAAGGGCTTACCTTTAAATCATGCCTCTTAATCCGATCTTCTTTAGTGTATTTTTGAGATGTCCCTCCAGCGCTGGTGCGGGTCTCCGATCCAGCGCTGACTCCTCTGTCCTCCTCTTCTCTGATGTCCCATGGTGTCTGTGCGGGTACACGCTGCTCCATATACTTACCTTGTGTCTCTCCTCGTCCCCCGGTGTAATGCTCTGGACTACAAATCCCAGAGACGTCAAGCTTATCTCAAGGATGAGCCCAGCTGTAAAGCTTGGCAAAACTTTAATTTCTATTTGTTGTCCTTGCAGTAAACTTCAAGGAAACTGACTCAGTAGCATTAAAAGTACTTTACTTGGCGAAAATGCTGCGTGTACAAACTTAGTTACAGGAAAAGCAAACAAATACATCAACAAGACAGCCTGCTACAAACATTCACATGCACCCACTACACTATCTTCTAGTACATGTATAATTTCACAGGAGGGGAAACACTGAAAATGTACTTAGCTTAGGCTGCAGACTCCAATAAATTCCGTGATGAGCAGTACTTGGCCTAGGAAGAATGGCTTCTCGTTGCAGTATCCTGGTCTTGGTCCTCTCGTCTTGTGAAGCGCCCTCGTACTGTCCCCTCCTGTGAAGCCCTGGTCTTGTGAAGTGCTGGGCTGGTGAGCTCCTCCTGTTAACATTCAGCTACTGGCTTTTTATTGAGAGAAACTTGCCTAAAACAATGGAAGCTACGCCCCTAGACCTTTAGGAAAATGCAATACAGTTTCCCACCTCTAGGTGGCAGCGTTGTACCATAAATTGCCCTCAGTAGTCAAGATTTGATTTTGAGTCTTGGCCAGGCTAGGCGTGACTATTCATGATCACCATCCCATTGTGATACAAATCAATACAGAATAAGCTACCCTATTGTGTAAAACCAGTTTGGGCTGTATTGTTGGCCATTTCCATTGTATGAACCGAGTTTCTATCAACAAACAAACAAAACCTCCGTCTCTCTTGCAAATTTATGTGTGTCTGAAAAAGTCCACTAAGATATATCGCAACACACCCGGCAGAACATCTGAACTGTGCATGCGCCCGCCCCAAGATCCTTTGCGGCCGCCCGAGAAATTTTCAGATGTTCGGACGGGAACGTGCGTTGGAGACGCATGTAACTATTAACCCTTTGAAATATTTTTGTTTGTTTTACATATATCTACTGCTTGCTAGCACTAGATATATACAAAAACATGCGAGGGTTTAATAACCCTTCAAGCTGCCTGCTGGAGTAGAAAATGTACCCTTTAGCTACCAAAATTGGTGTTATGCACTAAAACCTTTTATCTTGTTTATCCTGTTTACTATTTTGGATAGCCTGTATAAATGAAAAGTAATGGTGGAATAAAAACAATTCTGGGCATTCTGACTCCAATTGTTTAAAATGGTGACCTATCCCTTCCTGAGACCACTATGCATGGTCTGTATAAGCAGATACAATCACCGCGGACAGTCTTTATCAGATAGCTTAACTCACCAAACACCTTTTTCATCCACAAAGATCTTTAATGAATGCCGCAGGTTACATCAGACAACAGGACGTAGCAGATGATTAAAAAGACTGTATTTGCAGGTCAAAAGATGGTAATGTCCCCCCACCCCATTGTGAACATATGGCTATACGACATTTAGCCATGATGCCAGAAAATGGAGAATGAGAAAAAGGAGGTACATCACACACAAGGGGAGGGAACACAGAAAAAGATGGTGCACTAAACAAAATGACCACAAGATGGCAGCATTTGAACCAGCCATACTACTCATAATATGCAATGGCTTGAGGAAAATGAACTATATAAATTCTCAATTTACAGTAATATGAATATTAACCATGACTGCATTGTATCATATTTTCATACAACAGCTGTAACAGCGCACTGGGTTTAACCAATTATTTCTGGCATATACGTTCTTAATGGTCTACATAACTAGGGGTGTGTCCATTGTCTACATTTTATCAAAACTGGAGCAGACAGAATCTGGAGCAGCTCTGCATGGCAACGAGTTAGCTTCCACCTTTCATTTTCAAAGCTGAACAAACTAAAGAAAGAAGCTAATTGCTTACTATGGATAACTGCTTTAGATTCTGCCTGCACCAGTTTTATTACATTCCCCCCATTGTACTGGAAGATGTTTCTTTCTTTTTCTTCTTTCTCCTTTTTTCTCTTTTCTTTTCTCCTATTTCTTTTCTCAAAAGTTGGATGGTATGCTTTTTAACTCGTTAAAGTGGAATAAAGCCTTTATTTCTGCTTGTACGAAGCGTGGACATTGCTGATGAGATATACCTGGCTATAAGAAATTGTTTGGTGTTGTATTTAATAGTAGGTGGCACAGTAGAGCCACCTTAGATCAGAAGGCATTCAAATGTCTTATTTCACACATCCACAAAATTAGAGGAGTATTCCTTTTTTTTTTTAGAACGGGGCGGAGCCATGCATTTGAATTTTGTATACCCCAATGACCAAATACACTGTATGCTGCCTCATAGAACTATTGATTCCAAACTACATGCTGTTGTAGGCTTTTTGAAAAATCCTCAGTGCAGTATATGGAAACGGTTGCTCTATGAAGTGGGGTTTAGGACCCAATGAGCAGTTATAATTAAGGCTATGGTAAGAAAGGACTAAAGAATTAAAAGTCCTCCAACTGAAATGAGTGGGTGGCAAAGTATACACTCCTTAGAACGGAAGGTATCTACTTGTCTCATTCCATCACATATCCCACAAATAAGAGGAATATTCTTCATGTAAAGTACAGCAGTTCGGAACCATACTAATCATAACATTATGCCCCAATGGCTACAAGATGCTTTGGTTGAAAGGCTTTTTGATTTCTCCCACTGTAAAATAAGTAACAATCCTCTTATTTTTCTGTTCTAAGAAGGATCGGCTGTGCTAAGCACTGGTTCTGCTAGTTCCTTCTTACCATAAAATTAATAGTTAAACTTGCTAGTTGAATTAACATAGAAGACCTGCTGGATATCACTAATAGACAGGTTTTTGTTGTACTTAAAGTAGATGATAGAGTTCACTAACTGGAGTGCCCAGAGACCTCTTTTAAAATGCCTTCATGCCATTTTTCTAATCATTTGTCAGGCCAAAACCTGTTATTTTCATCCTGGGCCTATAGATCTATATAGTGAACTATTTAATTACATACAGTGTAAGTACCTGAATTTAACATGGCAACAGCCTCTTGTAATCACCCGTACAGCGGCACTTAGACTGGTAGAATGAGTGGCAGGACTGAGAGCCAGATGTGCTACATGAATATGTGCTAACAAGGAACATGATGAAAGAATGAGAGGGCAGAGTAGGCAGTGAGATGACCTCAATCTATTGCTTTCTCTTTACTGTCCAATTAGCAGGCTGGAGGTGGAGAGAAGACACGGCTATATACTTTCTAAAGTGGTGTCATCTGTCTGGCTGTGCTTTGTGGTAGGACTGTGTAAATCTCACAGTCCCGTGATGGACTGCAATCTCAATACAAATTAGTAAACTAAACATGAGATTGTCGTCTATCACAGGAGCGAGCTTGGAGCGGTGGCTACTTTACAACACACACGGGGACCATGGGGAACAAAAGTAGCCACCCTCCAGAAGGAAGGACAGTGTCGGCACCAATTCAGAGATGATTTGAGGATCTACAGCCGAGTGATACACAAATAAGATACATTTTTGTTATTAGTTAGGGTACTTTTGTATTTTTTTCAGATTCATCTCCTAAGTTTTTAGTGTCACTTTAACCTTCTAAAATTGTGTTTGATATTGCATAAGTTACTGCTTGCAAACTGAAAACTTTCTAGCTTGCTCTTCAAAAATCAGCACACCGTAGCTGTTATTGTTACTATGTTTTCTGCATTTTTATAAGACTCACACAAAGGAAGGCAGGTGAATTTATTAAATCCATATAAAAAGTATTCTTCCAGGACTCCTTGTTTCCTGCAAAATATTTAAAGGACTTCTGGGTAAAAGAAGTCTTCTTCATGTGGAGCCACAGTAGATGTTCTGATTTGAGTTAAGACTGTGATGCATTTAACACCCACTGGGTGGAATGTTCACTTACAGGACTGCCAATTAGAAATTGTGCCCAGATGTCCTTTCCTCTATTGGTAAGACTTTTCTGCATGCTTTAAGGTGCCCATGTACCTTACAATTTTATGTGCTGATTTTCGTTTTTCCAAGCAGGCTAGCAAATTTTCGTCTAGTTGGACGAAAATCAACGTATGTAGTGGCGTTTTTGTACAACAAAAATCTCAAGATGAAAACTGCACATGCTCAAAATAAAATGTGGCCATTCGATCAACGAAAATTGGCCATTTAGTGGTGCTGACGAACGATAATTGCGAACTACTTTGGTCTGTGCGCGATGGGCTTGAACGAAAATTGAACGAGACTGCAATGTCTGGACAAAAAAAGTTGTGCAATGGTTGTAAGGTGTATGGGCACCTTTGAACCAGACAGCAGTCCCTATAGTTTTTTTTTTCCTGCTTGTAATTGGTACTCTAATGAAACCACCTGTGCCACTGTACCAAATAAAGGACACTTGCTATTTGAAGCAGACCTAAAAAGCACTAGAACTTTCTTTGTTAAAGAATTACCGGCACCACTCATCAATGTCTATAACATTGTCAGGAGGTTTCATGGTTTGTATCTTTTTATAAAGAAAAATTATAATTTTAAGTGAAGTACCTAAGGGACACAGCTGCTCATTTCCTTTCACAGAAGAGTATGAAGCAGAGTTGGTTTTTACTCAGCTGATCCAAATGATTGAAAATTGGCTTTGGCACTGGAATTTTAGATCTGGGATTTCTGAAACTCCAATTGATCTTGGTTTTACATGTGCTTCATTGCAGTGTTGAGGTTGGTGTCAGAGTGGAAGCTTATAACTGTGAGGAATGGACGGAGGGCAAATCGCGCCACATTAATAGTGCTTTCCTCATTTATCAAGCACTGGATGCAGGCAACCAGTATATAACATTCCCCAGAGTCAAAGCCTCAACCAAGGTGAGGTCCTGTATGTTGTTAAGTTTATTTTCATAAAGCTCAGATTCATGCTACATAATGCACTGCAATTGGTGACCCCAATAAAATAAAATATGGCAGGTTTGTTGGTAATGGGTTGTGTCACATGGACATGCTTAAAAATGTATCTATTTAAATCAGGAGCTTGGTTCTGTTTCCTATGCTCCTGCATTAAAATGGGAGTTGTCAGACAAGCATGCTGGTTGCTAAAAAGACACACCAAAATGTGTTTTCACTGAACTCTGCATACATACTATGCTACTGAAATGCTTGTGAGGCTTCCTGGGCCTCATAGTAAAAGAATCATCTAAAAATATATATATCCCATTGCAACATATACAATAACAAACAGGATTCATCTTTTCCATTTTGAAATGGCAAAAGCAAATATTAATGTCTAATTGCAATGGCACCAGTCAATTGTAGAGACTGGCTGGCTGTAAGGACAATACAGACATTATTTTTCTAAATTCTGGCAAAATTCTTCAGCCAAATGCATTGCAGTTAATATGGAAAGATTAAATTAAGATTTTTTTTTTTCGGTAAGAAAGGTACAACAGGCTTTTGTTTTTTTAATTTAAATTTCTCTCCTCCCTACATATGACAGTATAAATCCAATTTATGTCCAAGAGCTATCTTTGAAGCACTAAGAAACCAAGCGTAACACATTGATGGGTTTATGGAGACTTATTTCAACTATACTGGATCTCTTCTTGTCCATGAAACGGCCATGGTCTTATCTTTTTGTTGTGTGTATTTATTTATAAATAAAACTACAACTACACTATATCCCAAAAGATATAACATTAATAGCAAGAATGCACAACACTAAATTAAATACATTAACCAGAGTGCAGTAATACAACATTGCATAAATGTAAACCCAGAAAAAAAGAACTTTCCCCAGGTGGGAATTAAGCGCATTAGTCTTAGTTCATTATAAGGTCATGACTATCTAGTAAGTTCCTACAGGGGGGGAGCTTACAGAGTGACACTGCACTTTATATGGTGGAAGATCTGTGCAGTTTATATGTAATATTAGGAGTGATGGAGCACAGAAATAATAAGCATCGAGTGAATATAGGCATCACAGTTATGAACTGAGAATATCTTTTTATTTTTCAGTGGATTGCCCTGCTTGTACTTTTGTATGAGTTTTTTTTTTTTCTATTTCACTACCAAGAATGTTATCCTGCACTAACTGTATCCTGTCTCTTAATTGTCTTGTTTACTATTTTGAAAAGCCAGTATAAAGAAAAAGTAGTATTTTTGGCATATACATATTTAATGATC